TGTCGAGTCAGGAGATCAGTTGTTTTCCGTGGTTTTAGCGATCAACACCAGACGAATGCCGGAGCGGAACCCCTTTCAAACGGGCCAGGGGCCGCGCGAGATCTTTCCTTCCCTTTCCTTGATCTACCCTCACCCTTTACTGACACACACTTACACGTACATGCACTTTACTACGAAGCTTATTGGGAGACCACTCAAGAGTTTTAGTGTGTTCCGGCTGGGTCGGTGTGCCGCTGGTGGGTGATACCTGGTTGGGGAAATCCCCGCTAGCCGACCTATAGGTCCGCGCCGGATCTCGCCATCCAGTGGGGAAACATGACCAACACCTTCGCCCTCCCACCACCCACCTCCAGGCTGTGACAATCACTGCCTCCTTAGAGCTACATTAATGGCTCCCCTTTTCCACTTAATTTTTGACTAACATGTAAGTATTACGGGTAAATCAATAGAACATGTTACAATGAGTACAAAATTATTAATTGAATGATAACAACAGTTGAATTTGTTAATTCTATATTGTATGATTCTCAGGGTTGCCAAATAGCTTGGGGAGCCTCTTCTGCAAATGTAGAACAATTACCTAAATTATAAGGTTAAAAAGGAGGATATCAAAAATTGAAGATATTTACGGAAATAAAAAGTTTTATTTCGCAAGTTTTTGAGATCTACTTTCTTTCCAACCCCTTCTTTACGCACGCTCATGCGTATGGATCAAGTCACTTTTCCATTCCAGATACGGCCACAGGCTTAGGTAGGGGTATCAACGTACTAATTATTAGTGGAACCTCCGAGAGCGTACGACTTGTAGCTAGTGACTGAAGCGCTGGACCAACCTCTGGACCACGCCACTCAAATTTCTGTCACTATGTAATATTTATGGCGGACGAAGCAGGTTCGTGGCAGAGTGCCTTAGGATTATTCCTTTTGTTTCCTGCCTCTTATTCATCTCTGCTTCATCATCATTATCATTGCATATCATCTATTCGAGGCCCCACAATGGCCGCTTGGTGAGTCTATCTGCAGAACATACTTTCGTCATCCCGCAACGTCATTATTCAACGAGATGTAATCACCTCCCAAGTACCCACTGACACAATGTTTGCGCCTAGAGCAGCTATCACGTCCAAAATCTCAAGTGTGTTGTAAACTATGAATTTATTCATACAATGGCGACACTGAAGGATAACGAGAAATTGAATACTGGCTCTTCTAATACAATGTAAATTATACTTTAATGAGTTGTTCGTTTATGTCAAGCTTGCTATTATCCAATACGAAGCTTATTCCTTGCTCTGAGGTTACGTAATTTAATGTTACTTTAAACGTTCAACTTCAGAGATTTCCTCCAGTTTTTCCTCCTCGTTTTGCCAGTTTTTGTTGTATCACTGTAGTATTGGAGTAGGGAAGTATTGCAAGACGTAATTTTTCTTTTTGGAGTCATGAAAGCATCTTCTCGATCATTGGAGAAAATAACGTTTTCTCAAATCACGATGGATTATGTAATTTTAGGTTTAAATTTGAAAGAACATGCGTACGTTGATAAATAACACTGGTCAACAGTGGCCTTGCCCGTACATCGCATTTCATTATATTAGTACATACAGGGCCGTTACATCACTATGTCATGATCGATTCCTTTTTTCTAGAAGATTCATTATTTGTTGTACTAACTAGGGCATTTCGTTCCCATTAATTATTCTGAACACTTGAAAATCTCGAGGCTTTCGCTGAGAGTACCTTTGGCTAATGTTTCCAGTCAACTTTTGCTGTTGGCTATTTATGAACATTAGAATTTGTGGGTGTGACGTCTCACAAATAGAAAACATAGGAAAGGTAAATTTGCCAGAATTCATTATGAAAATAGATTTTAAACATGTCTGCGCGCGAGCTCAAAAGATCTTTGATGAAATTTGTTCTTTGGTCTTCCCAAACTTTTTCAAAATAGACGTATGCGGTCCAATCATTCATGGAAATCAAACTTCTCAGCCTATTTTTTTTAAAAACACGTAGTCAATTTTGAGTAGATGTTTCGTTTGAAATCTTCGTAACAGGGAGTATCAAACAGTCGTAAGTTCTACGCACTTCCATTGGAGCTCGTATAAAATTGTTCTCCATAGGATTATCCTTATTTCGAGGAGCATTTTTTCACGCCCCTCACAATGGCCCAGGAATTTAGAGCAAGGCGATGGTTGCGGATTCTATTCTCGCCTAAGGTATGAATGTTTTCATGTGTTTGTGTCCGCCTCAATTATTCACCCCTCGATTATCACACATCTTTCCTAAGTGGAAGGAGAGCCAAAGTAAACATGTTCAAATGCAATCGTTTGCTCGTGAAAGGGGGATATACAGTGTGTCTACTCAATACGTTTGTGGAGTTCGGACGGTAGTCCACGGGCAATCGAGGCCGTGCGCGTTCCTCTGACCTGGCGGAGCGGGCCGTTCCCGCGTGACAGTTTGGTGTACAGTCGACACAAAAACGCACCAGTTTTTTTTCTACTGATTAGCACCATTTCCTCTTCTCTCACAGAACGAAAAGGATAAGTTCGTATTAAAATCACTAACTGCCAATGGCACACTATCGTTTAGAAGTGCATAATTTTGCGCAGGTAACATCTCTTCGAAACAAGTTTTTGTTTTGAGTTTTGTGAACTATGATAAATTTAAGAGAAGATGGTAATTCATCTGTAGAAGGCGAGATTTGTCTTTGCGGTGTCGCCATTTGATGTTGCTTGTGGGATGTGTTAAAGACATAGTAAATGAAACAACGGATGCATAATAACGGCGTTTCATAAACATACATCGAAAGAAATATCTAACACAGGATGTTTTTAATAAATGAGTATTCATTGAGAACCTTAATTGAGGTCTTAGTCGGGGGCATTTTCAACATCCCCTGCGAGGGAAGATGTGTGGAAGCACGCGGCATGTAGTGTCCGTCACGCAGGTAGTTGCCATGAAATCGAGGACCCATCACCCTGGGCCCGACGCGCCTCGTCCGCACAGTTCTCGAGTAAACAACCTGTATAAGCGCGTACGTCGCTTACTCTCAGACCTGCGTATCGCTCTCATCCCTTCACAAGCTCTTCCGAGCCATTCCGAATGTATTCCACGAACGGCCCCTGTGTCGCAGGGCTGGGAGACACCGCGCGCTTCTATCGCGAAGGCGCAGCGCCGCTGGAGATAAAGAGGGGGGGTGAGTGTACCTAATGGAAGAGCGCACGGGAACGCGGTCGGGCGCTGCACAGGCTTTCACGCGCCAATCGATCTTCTCTGTCGATACTCGCTCCCATCGAACGCAGCGCGTGTGAGTCGGAGCGTGTACACGTGCGGAGGCGAGCGATCGGCTGGGAGCTCTTCAGTGGCACTGCACTTTCACGCGCGGAAATTTCTCGCTGCTCTGACTAGATTCATCTGCCGCTGAATGAGGAATGGACTTGCTCAAAAATTTGCTTTCATACTGGAATTTATTTTTCTGTAATAGCACTTGACATTTAACCAGATGTTATGGTGTCATCCAATCGGGTGCTTGACCGGGATTTCACCATAGTGACGTTCAAGCTCCTGATTGTATGAAACCGAAACAGTTGACGTACGTCAAGTGCCACTACAAATAAATCGATTAATAAATTTGGATTTGTCTTTTTTTATTGTCAGCTATTGCGTACGAAGGCAGATTCAAATCCCAACGAGTTTTGAACATCAGCTAAAGAGGTGGATTTCTTTGATCAATTCCAGGTTGTTTCCTCTCATCAATTCCTGGCGTCTGCCGTTTCAGGATCTTAAAACAATGAAACGCTCCTGAACTCTCGTGAATATTGAAAACGAGCGTGAATATTGAATTTAAAACGGTATACGTTCGAGTTCTAAGAGGCACCATTCATGAAAATGAATGAATACCAGGCCAGAATAAACGAGCATCGTATTGATATTAGCTGAATTTTTAATGTGCTTGAATGAAATTAAGTACACGGAATGATCATGAAACCATTCACTTTTCACCAGCCCGTAATTTTTTTTAAACGCACAAGCCCTTCTCAAAAAATACATTGAACAACTCGTATTTCAAACCGACAGAATCAGATTCAATGAAAATGTTTTCCTGCTAATATCCGACGAGTAGTCGTCAAGGAAACCAAAAACTCTTAAAAGGAAACCTCGAGATGACGTAACTAATGCGGAGCGAAATGGAAATCACTCTCTCTGCGAATTGAGGTCAGCGAGGATGCTTTTAGCAGTTTGATCTCCCTCCCTCCCTCCCCTTCCGGCTGCCTACAGATCCGCTTTCAGTGACAAAATTCCTCTGCAAAGGAAACTGAGCGTCCTGATGCGTAGGATTACGAGGCGTTATTAGAATTTCAACGAAGTTCCAAGGAGAACCCTGCGGTTATGAATGTGCGAGTTAAATAACCCGCTGTAAGGGAAAATATCCTGAGAATAAAAAATTCATCTATACTCTTTCCAGAGAAATGTGAACGCTTATCTACACGACAAGACTATTTGAGTTAAAACTGAGACGTACATATTGAATCTTCGCAAAACATTGGAACCTACGTTCTTCTAAAAAAAAAAATTATTGAAGAAAAAAATGAAGATTCCTTTAGAAGTAATTTTTTTATTCGTTTTTTTTATTTTCAGTCAAAGATTGTTGTAGCATCCACACCCTAATAGGAACCATCTTGAATTGTACACTAAAAAGTAACTAAATTGCTAGGTCTTAGGATCTGAGATCAAATCGCTCAACAAAACACACACACACACACACACACACACACACACACCAAAGGCGCAAGGTAAACGTACATGACTAAGACGGAATTTGAATCCGGGACACCTCAGAACTAGATGTAAAAAAAACACTAATACGATGAGATAAAAGACTATTTACAAGTAATTTGAAGTTAGCAATCATAATCAGGACGGTGTTTGCTTAACCTAATAAATTGATTGAAAAAGAGACAGAAAGGGAGAATATGAATGCGAAAAAAAGCACACTTACCAGAGCAGAGCAAACATTTGATCATGGGCTGACCAAACGGTTTGGGTGCCGTTTGTAGATGGTGAGGATTGGTGTTGGCTGAAGCTCAGTCCTGTGAAAAGCAAATGAAGTGTTGTGAATCTGAGCACGCCACACAGAATTTCCCTCTGACCGAGAGGTTATTACCAGCATCTTTTGTGTGGCTGTGATTGCACAAATACGGCTGCTAAATGGGCTTCATTATAAAATTAATATACGTTTGTACGCTTCAACAATTGCGTCATTGTTTGCAATATATTTAGAGCTAGCTTAACGGGCTAAAACGTTTGAAATAGCTTTACGGTTTTATAGCTTACGTAGTAATACCTTTCTCAGTTTTCTGGAGTGTGTGTGTGTGTGTATATATAAGGGAAAAGGATAGGACAAAGAAGATTACGGAAAGATCGCGCGTAATCCGTGGCCCGTTTGTTAGGTACTGCTCCGGCATTCACCAGGTGTTGATCAGGGAAACGACGGAAAACTACCGATCAGAGCAGCCGGCCGCTAGAATTCTCCTCCGACTGAAGTCGAGCTAGCTACGTAACTAGTATCGAAAATCCTGTGGCCGTCGGGAGTAGTTTATCTAGGACCTCCCGGTCGGAAGTCCTGCAGTGACCGAGTTGGCTTTTCCGGGCCCGGTCCCTCGGGCGTCGGTGCGCCGGGAGTCGACGGGTTCGGCCGCGCGAGGGGAGCGGTGTCGCGCAGGTGCTAGCGGGGGAGGGGGGTGCGCGAGGAGGAAAGCGGCGACCGGGCGCGGCCCCGCAAGGCGCGCGCATGCATAAGGGATGCGGCGCAAAGTCATTTGGCGGTCGAAGGGCAGCCCCCGCCCCCCTCGTTCTCTCCGCCTCTGCCACTACATCCGGCCCCTGAGACGCGGCCGCACGCAGCGCGTACTTTCTGCAATGCGGCATGCGCACCTGCCTCTTGGCGGCGGACGAATTCGTGGCTTTCTAAACGACCTGAAAACTTTACGCAAATAACACAAGCTCTTAGAAAGAAACATCTAGAGTCTGTAAAAGTCTTGCACAAGTAAGTAAGAAGAAATGTATGTATCGTGCACGAAAGTAATTAAAATTTCCCGAAATAGATAACCTTTATGGAATGGAGATCTAAAATGTTTGTCCCTATTGTCTACGGGACTACTAGTTAGATTAATCTGCGTCTTCAAAATGTTGGAATCCAATAGTGGAACGATAACCGTAGTTTTTTCGATTTCGAAACTAATGGTTGCTATAAAAGGAAGTGACAGGGTTATTTACACGAAAATGGAGTATTGTAATATCTGTTGCTTCATGTGCAAGTGCCTAGATTAGTATGTTTAAATGGGTTTTCAATTAAACATAGATTGTGTTTGTGACTTTTTCTAATTGTGATTGTATGGCTTACCTACTTCTTATTTAATATTTGTACCAGCTAAAACAGTACAACTAGAGTAAAGCAAAATATTTATTAAAAATTTGTATTAAATTTTGTATTAAAGTAAAATATTTATTAAATATTTATTAAAAATAGATCTGGAAAGTACGCAAAGTTTGAACGAATTAGATCGAGACGTGACAAGCTGTGACGTATGAATGTGATGTTCAAATTTCTGGCCCACTCGTCCTCAAAGAGAATATTATTCCTCAGCTGGTGTCCGTTCGAATCGACACGAGGAACGAAGCGATCCCGAGAAGCGCTCGCAGAGCGAATGCGACATGCGACCCTGAGATCCTCCTTTGTGAGGCAACAGCTCCAACGGGGCGGCGGGTCAATTCATGCAGACGCATTCCGGGCCTTTATATGCACATTCGGACGCAGCCGTTTCCGCCCCGAAGCCACCCGGCTCTAGAAGGAAGTTTACGCGATCTCTTAGCTTCACTCGTGACAGAAACCATTCCTGAAACATCCGTTTCATAAACGCAGAGGCAAATACGAGTTGGATGTGTCCTGCGAACTCTTCTAAATTTGTGGAAGGCCGTCCTGAAATATACCAATAGCGTTGTGCTCGACCTAATGAAAAATATAATTTATTATTTAACGTTTCAGGCAAATGCCACATCGAAATTTAAGGGAGTATTGTGCAACGTCACAAAATACATGAATATAGAAGAATACATAAAATAGGTTAATGTACTTGGATGACAAAATATGATGATGATGATGATAATAATAATAATAATAATAATAATAATAATAATAATAATTTCATTATACTTCAGTTATAAAGTGTCAATAAATTTGTATTAGTTTACTCTATTGCTTGATATATACTCTCAAGGTTGAATTACGACATGTAAATTCGCGAAGTAGTAATTTTCATGTTCGCTTTCGTACTTCTTAGCATGTTATTGTTACCTGGAGGCTTGTTACAACTGTCATTTGGTTAGCGATAATTATGCTTCATTTGATTCTGCTGCACAAGGTGACTCAATATAAATACATCGCATCTCGAGGAGCAGACACAAATATTCGAAAGAAAAATAAAACTTTTTATATTCAAATATTTAAAATGCATATTTTCATATGCATGCCGAAGCCGATTGTTATTGGTCTAAGCCAGGAATACGTATTTGAAGTCGTAATGAAAGGTTGGCCAAGAGAAGAAAAACAGAAAACTATTAGCGCACTGAAAACGTTTTTAGACGCGTAAGGAAATCTGACATGCACAAAATTAATATGCAGAAGATGGGTTCTTCACCCGAACCTACAACTACGCATTCGCCAGTGCGTTGTTACGTCTGTTAGCCTTCCTTCGTGACATGTTGGGACATTGCCTGCGCAGCCAGAAAGGTTAATGGTCATTTAGGTGCGAGTTAGGCGCCAGCGAGTGCGAACATTCTTCGACGCCCAAGATGCGAACTGCCACGTCAAGGGCATGTGGGCTGGGCAGGGCAGGGCAGGGCAGGCAGTTGGATGGGAGAAGGAGCAGGCAGGACAAGCGCGGACGAGCAGAATATGCAGGAACGGGGAGGAAAAGCGGGGTCGGGGAGGACACGTTTTGTGAGCGGGCGGGACAAATGGGGGTGGATAGGACAAGCAAGGACAGGCGGGACAAGTGGACGGGTGGGTCAAGCGGGGGCGGGCAGAGAAAGCGAGGTCTGGCTGGTCAAGCAGGGGCGGTCGGGTCAAGCCGGAGGGAGGAATAGAGGGCAGGGCAAAGTGTGGACGTGGGGACTGTGTCCCTCGCAAGGTGACACGAGCAAGACAAGCGGAGGCTGCGGGAATGGCTAGGCGGTGTCACCGCGGAGGAGCCCCTATGGGGGGGGCGATGCTGGGAGCGACGGGTTTGGTGAGGCGGGGCGGGGCGAGGTGAGGTGAGCGGTGGTCGTGGTCGTGGCCGCAGGTCTGGCCGAGCTATCGATTGGCGCGCGTTGGCGGCGCGGCCCTCGCAGCACTGCCCACTCCCACTGGGGCTGCGGCCGCCCGCACGCGAAAACAGTTTGCCGTCCTCCGCCCCCCCCCCCGCCACTCGGCGCCTGCGCACCTCGCTTCATGCGGATCATTTGCATCTCCTCGATAAATATTTTCACAGAAAAATCATAATTTTAACTTGTGTTTGTACGAAAACAAAATGTTTATATATTTAAAAAGTTCATGAAACAACATGAGATCTTACTGTTTTTCTTTCATTAAATTGACTACATTGGAAAATATTCAGTCTAGAAAATTGTGACATGTTCGTCCTCATGCTTTGTTTATTGATGGGAAATTTTGCATTGCTCACAGTTACATTTCTGTTTTTGAGGTATAATAAATGGAAAATATTTTACCTAAAGGTAATTGTTATTTTTTAGTCGTTGTGTAGTTTAATAAAATATATCCTTGCACAGAATTTTGAAAATATTTGTGCCTATATCCCACTACATTCATTGGCAGAAATCTCGTCACATTTAGCTACCGTGATGTGTTACGTGATTGAAACTACATATTTTCAAAACACTGCACGCATGGTTTACTTTGCCCATCTTACAAAACAATATTGTCTTCATCTTTTCAGAGGACGTGTAGAATTTATATAGACGTATTCCCAGTGAAAAGCATTAACAAACGAAACAAACTCATACTTCACTCTCAATTTGTACAGTATCAATGTAAATATAACACACGAAATAAAGAAAATCCCAGCAAGAAACCTCGCATATAATTCGTGTCTGTTTTGTTGACACAAGGGAATTATTTAATCTTATTGGTTTAATCTCACTAATGGAATAGTCAACCAACATACGGTTACGTGTCCGTTCTCGTCCTACCGCAGACCGCGTGGCCGGTTCGCTTCTCTCGGACGCCGCCACCGCCACCAATCCGGGTTCATGAATAATATTGCTCTCCCCCCCCCCCACCACCACCTCACTCCCCTCCGGGTTCGGGAGCCTAAGCTCTCCCAACCAATTTCTTGAGCTCATACGCCCACACATAGCATTTGTTTTAAACAGTCATAGCAATATGGAAATATTAAACTCGCGTGTAAAGCACTGGGTAATGAGACTCAAAAAGTTGCACGTGTTAAGTGGTTGCGACATATTAGATCAGTAAGACAATCCCCAATTTGATGCGACCAATTTGACAAGGTTTTTTCGCTCATTTCCAAGATGTCGGTAGTACTTGCGATGTACAAGGGGTAAAACAAAATATCGGATGTATTTGCCTCTCAAGAATAATTGTAGAGAACTCAAGAATAATTGTAAAGAACCTGTAACAAGTATTGTACTTCAGCTTCTGGGTCAATGACCCCAATCTCGGTGAGGTTTTCGTCCAGTTTCGCTGATCGTCGAGCAAATGCTGAGATGGCCCCTTGTTTTGCTTCTGGACATAAATGTAACTTGAAATTAACTCCTCCCCATAGCACGTCACAGACAGCTTTTAACTGTTTTGACGTAAATAAATAATAACATAAAATAAGTAAGTCATAGTTCTTTGTTACAAGAGGCTGGCAACAGTTGACAGACGCACAAACATGAAAACTAAATACCGTAACAATTATGAGATCGTTGCTTCCGAGAACGACTGAGAATCCCTTTACACATTTCTATTTTTCTCTTATTTAATTGTGATAGCATCTAATTTTCACATGCATACTGTAAAACGAGAATT